TTAGTGAACTGTCCGTCAAAGGACTTCTGTCTAAAGCATATAAAGAATTTTAAAAATTCAGACCCCCGATATTCAAAGACCCAATCCAAAAATGGGCATCTGAGATGAATACACACCTCTCAGATGAAGAAATACAAATGGCAAATAAATACATGAAAAAATATTCAGCATCATTAGTCATTAGAGAAATGCAAATTAAAACCATACTGAAGGGGCTGGGGATTTAGCTCAGCGGCATAAGCACCTGCCTTGCAAGCAGGCAGTCGTGAGTTCAATCCCCGGTACTGATAAAAAGGAAAAAGACAAAAAAAAAAAAAAAATTAAAACCACACTGAGATTCCACCTCACTCCTGAAAGAATGGCCAGGATCAAGAAAACTACCAGCAACAAATGCTGGAGACACTGCGGGGAAAAAGGAACTCTCCTGCACTGTTGATGGGAGTGTAGACTGGGGCATCCACTGTGGAGGTCAGTCTGCAGATTCTTCAAAAAGCTGGGATTGGAAGTCCCATTTGACCCAGCTATTCCACTTCTAGGCATATTCCCAAAACTGAAAGCATCATATCACAGTTATATATGGGCACCTATCTTTATAGCAGCACAATTTGTAATAGCAGATCTTGTAAACAACATAAGTGTCCAACAACTGAGGAATGGATAAAAAAAAATTGTGGGTTTTTTTTTTTTTTTTTTTTTTGTCTTTTTCCTTTTTATCGGTACCGGGGATCAAACTCACGATCGCCTGCTAGCTTGCAAGGCAGGCGCTCATGCCGCTGAGCTAAAACCCCAGCCCCTAAGATTGTTGTATTTTAGGGGCTAGGGATTTAGCTCTGCAGCATAAGCACTTGCCTTGCAAGCTGGTGGTCGTGAGTTTGATCCCCAGTACCGATAAAAACGAAAAGACAAAAAAAAAAAAAAAAAAAAAAAAAAAAAGATTGTGGTATTTTTATACAATGGAGTACTACTCGCTATAAAGAATGATCATATTGAGATATTTATAAATAAATGGATGCAACTTGAGGTCATACTCATAAGCAAAATAAAACTCACATGTATACTGTATAGTCTCCCTAGTGTAAAAAATGTTGAGTACATAATAGTTTATGGTACTCATGATTCCCCATTACATTGCTTTGAAGCCTTATGTTTTCATTCATTAGTTGGAATGGTTTTATCCTGCTTTGATTTTATTATCTGTGATGGTACGAACAACTATTTTGAAGTAAACAAGACATTATAATAGCCAGTGCTGATTTAATATCATCTTGCTCTGAAGTCCTACCATGCTTTTGTTCTTGTTTCCATTGGTTCTATCATGTTGTATCTTATTAGATTTTTATTATGTGTGATAGTATAAACAAATTTTCTATGGAAAATAATAGAGTAACCACTGTCCTTTTTCTGTTATTTGGTTCTGAATGCCCTATAATATTTTCTTTTCTTGAATGGTTTTATACTGTTTTGTTATGTTTGGTACTATGGTATATGAAGCTATGCTCAACTATTTCAAAGAAAGAGACATTATGGTAGCTACTGTTAATTACGGGTTGTCTTGTGATGAAATACTGTGTTGCTTACATTGTTCTGTTCTGATATGCTTTGTTATGTTCTCTTTTGTCTTAATCTCTTTAAAATAAAAATTTAAAAAAAAGTGAACCAATGTCCACTGTATTAAAATGAGAGTTAAGAGCAAACATTAAGACTTGCCAGATCAGGAACCATGAACTATCCTGGCAAATGACACAACTGAGAAAAACTAGAAGAGCTGAGAGGCTCTGCACTAGGGCCCCAAATGTAACCCAAACAGAGCTCTAACTGACCTGACCTTAGGCTATAGGGCTGGGGATGTGCTCAGTGGTAGAGTTCTTGTCTTGCATGCACAGGGCCCTGGGTTCGATCCCCACCATCACCAAAAAGAAAAAAAAAAAAAGGAAGAAAGAAAAAGAAACATATATGGTGGCACATCCTTATAAACCCAGCACTTGGGAGGCTGAGGCAGGAGGATCCTTAAAAGTTTGAGGCCAACCTGGACTACATACATAGTGAGTTCAAGGATACCCTCAACTATATAGTGATACTCTATCTTCAAAAAAATATACTATATGTATGTGTATATACACATATACATATAAATAGATTGATTTTGATTAAAACAGGTCTTACTTTGACTTGGTCTTAAACACCCAATAAAAAAGTATAAATCAGTCCACTGATTTACTCTAAAAATTAGAGTAAGAACAATATTAAACAAAAATTAGTGTAGATATAAAAAAGGGACCCAAGGCCACATGTGGTGGGGCATGCCTGTTAACTTCAGCACTCAGGAGACTGAGGCAGGAGGATTGCTGCAAATCTGATGCCAACCTAAGCTACAAAGTGAGTTCAAGGCTAGCCTAAGCTTCAAAGTAAGACTGTCTCAAAAAGGCAACAAAAAAGGGGTAGGATGGTTAACACTGCACCCCACCGGCAGACTCCAGCTACACTTACAAGCTTAACCTACAGTGCAAAAAAAATCTTAGGTTCAAGGCCCACTAGCCCTTTCAAAAATGTGTTCTCATACTATATACACATTATGTGATTTCAGTATATTTTCACATACCCTTCCAGTAAGGGCTTAGCTTATATAGGTTTGCCTATAAAATAAAAATAACAACATAGAATCTAGCTACTAATCATTATCTTTGTGGTATAAACTTTGTTCCTTACTTCAGGCTTTGTTTATATTATCTAGAGCTATCACTATAAAGGATCTTCAGGTCCAGAAGAGACAAGACCTACAGTAAATAAATAAATAAATAAATGGCCACATGGTCACAAAAACAGACATCTAAGCTGGACATGGTGGCACATACCTGTAATCACTTGAGCACTTGAGAGCCTGAGATAGGAGAACCAGTGCAAGTTTGATGCCATCCTAGGTTACACAGTGGTTCAAGGCTAGCCTAAATTACAAAGCAAGACCCTGTGTCAAGAAACCAAAAAGAAAAAATAAAATATATATATAAACAATAGGTATCTTTAATACATTCCTTCACCACTGTTATAAATATTAGATTTAAGAACAGGAAGGAGTCTGTAAAAGGGGTCTGTTGTTAAATTCCAACTGTCGTATTTGGGTAAACACCTCAAAATGAAGAGGTTAATATTAAGAATAAAAGGCACGGGGCTGGGGATTTAGCTCAGCGGCGTAAGCGCCTGCCTTGCAAGCAGGCAGTCGTGAATTCGATCCCCGGTACCGATAAAAAAGAAAAAGACCAAGAAAAAAAAAAAAAAAAAAAAACAGAAAAGAAAAAAAGGCAGGGGCTGGGAATATAGTTCAGTGGCGTAAGTTCCTACCTGGCAAGCACAAGGTCCCAAGTTTTGACTGAAATCTCCCAAAAAATAAAAAGTAAAGGTTTATGCCAAATGCTACCTAATCTTGTCTTTTACAACCTTTTAAAGCCTTTTCACAACTATTCATAATTTTCTTTTAATTTCCAGACCCTATTTAACACGGTTATAAAGTAAAGCTTAAGGGTCAACAACTTGCTAATATCTTTGTCCTCTTCCCACACTACCAAAAGATGGCTCATCAAACAAAATGCATCTTCGTCTCTTCTAGATCAGTCAGGCTGAGACTTTGATCCCTGACTAGACAAGATCAACCCTTCTCCTCAGTCTACAAGTTACAAAAAGAAAGATCGTCAACATTTCTACACTTCCTAAGAATAAGGGATCAACGATTCAGGAGCAGGAACAAAGTAAGATAGAAGAAATAAGAAGACAAAGAAAATCATTACTAAAAATTGTGCTTTTAAGGCTGCAATTTCTGGGACCCACTTGAAACTATGATCAATATTGGCATTTCCTTGGTTAATTTACGGTCTTTTCCTTCAAATCTATCCCACCTAAATTCCCTAAGAATACTGAGTCCATAAATTAACTTGAGAAAAGTGAAGAACAGGAGACTAGCCTAGGCAATTTAGTGAGATGCTGTCCAAAACCAATGAAAACAGGCTAGAGTGTAACTCAAAGGTAGAACATCATTGGATTTGAACAAAATTTTAAAAAGAGCAGTGGAAACCACTAGCTGGAGCATCACTGCAAGATAATGGCCTTCATGTGGGACTGTCCTCTGACTGTAAAGTTCAAATGATGGTGTAACTGTATAAACACTTCTGCTCCTTTCAGTGCACCATTTATACAAAAAAAAATCTTTTGGCTGCATCATTTACCAGCATACTTTCCCCCCAACACCTTTTTGAGACAGGATCTCACTCTGCAGTTCAGGATGGCATTGAACTCACCATAAAGCCCAGGTGGATACTGAACTCACAACAATCCTGTCTCAGCACCCACCAACTGAGCTTGTATTTTAAACTCTGTCCTAAGATTCAGCATCGAAAAATTCTAACAGACTGGGGAAGCAGCTTAGTGGTGGGGCATTTACCATGAGGCCATGGATCCCACCCCAGTGCCACAAATAATTTAAGCCTCAGGACCCAGCATCAAATCCCACTTGCCCGTATGTTTTATGTACAACCCTAGCACTAGATAACTTTAATATGATTAACTATGCATCAATTTGTTTTTACAGTATTAGGGACTAAATCCAGGGCCTTCATACTGAGTTACATGCCGAGGTGTTTTTTTTTCAGACAAGGTTTCACAATACTAACTTGTTAAATTGCCCAGGCTGGTCTCATACTTGCAATCTTCCAATCTGTTTTACCTCAGAGTACAACCAGGTTTATACCAACCCATTAAATTTTAAGAAAAAATTAAATTGAGAGTTGGGAAATCAGAGTGTAGGGTAAAAATAAATTTTGCAACTAGTTGGCTTTAATGAAGTCTGACCTGTCTTCATTTACTTCTTGTAGGTTTCCACCTTATCCTCCAACCCAAAATGAGCTACTAAAAATTCTCTTGATATTGAAAAAAAGTGTCCCATTTTCCTTTCCCCAGAGACCACTCCCTACAGACACTCTTAAACACAAACATGCAATTGATTCAGCCAACTCTTTTACATTTCCAAGTATTAACATTTAATAGAAACTATATACAATAAATTCGTACTGTATCTTACATAAGATAGCCCACCACAGAAATTTACATAGATTAAAGGATACATGGTTAAGGAGGGCCCAGTCCTCTGGGATAGTTCTCAGAGGATAAAAGTCAAGCACTCAGTTAAGAAGGGGTCAGACTTAAGTGAATGTGATAACGAAACGCTGAAATGCAGGCCTTTGGATAGATAACCAGACACTGATAACCAATCAATATTTCAAAGGCACCATTCTTAAACACAGCCCCCACCTAGTCATCTATGTGGATTTTTTGCCCATGACTTAGGAAATGCCACTCCAAAGATGTCTTCCCCATTAGGCAAAGTTCCAAACATTCACTCAATCCCAGAGATAAAGATTACCTTTCCTCCTTGCCCAAGATGGAAAGAAACCCACAACTTTTGGACACTAATGACCCATTCTCCCCAAATTTAGCTTTTATTTAGAGGGAAAACAAACTGTCAACTGACAGAAGTGGGTTCTCGCTTCCCATTTGCAGTAGCCAATCCACTTTGAGGCAATGGTGCACAGACTTTCTCAGAATTTCGAGATCCCTGGGATCTGCACCCATCTCCAGCCATTTGCATCTGGCCCTGTGAAAAGGAATAAACACACTGGGTTAGAAATTCACTATGGTCTGAAGCATGAATCTGACCTACCAAAGCCCCTATTATGGTAGCAACAAGATGACGAATGTAGAAATTAAAAAGAACTCTGGATGGCTGTTTCTCCCAATACTTTGTTATCCTACCCCTTACAGTTAAATTAGTTATAGCATTCTTAAGGCTCTCCCAATGGGAGAAAGAAGTGTTAGTTGTTTCTTCCAAATGAAATAGTCATTCTCTACTGAGGTTCCAGAGATGCCAACAAACCACAGGAAGTCATTCATATAGGCCTCTGCTTGAAACCAACAGCTATTATATAACTGCTGGTCTTCAGTCAGGGCCATAAGCACCCCACCCTTCACATTCTGGTCCTTATTCTACAATAAGAACAATCCCAGTGAAGAACTCTTAAATGGTACAATTTACCTAAAATCCTTGCCTCAAACTGTCATTTAAACAAATGTTCTACACTAAGAGCAGAGGACATGAGATGGTGTAAGGCCCATCTGGAGAACTGGAGAACTGGAGAAGGACATTTTGAAACAGAAAACCACCACCCTTGCAGCATTGAGAAATGAACCCAGGAAGAAAGGAAGGAGGGAGGGAAGGAAAGAAGGAGAGACAAAAGGGACGAGGGGAGGGACAAGTAAGGGGAGAAGAAGGGGAGGACACTTATTTATATTCAGGAGGTTGAATGCCAAGTGAAAAAAGTACTTTTCTTATATGGTATTATGTGAATGCCAGTGCAGGTATCTATATTCTACTCATGATGACATCCCCAATTTCTGGAGTACACGCTAGACAGCAGGAAACTCTCTGCCAGGCTAAGTCACTAAGTAAGGGAAGTCTAGACAGCGTTATTCTTCACTTGCCAGTATGTCCACTGGGCCTTCAGCAATTTCTTTGATTGAATGATCTTCAAGGCTTAGTGAAGGATCAAAAAGCAAGGGTGAAGGAGGGCACTGCATACCATCACCTACAACATCCAAGTCCTATGAAAGAAAGAGAAAAGTTTTATCAGCAATATAAAGGGAATTAAGCCGAAGTTGGCATATTTTTTAGCACACTTCACAGCTATTCTCAGGTCTCACCTTCATTCTTTACCTAGCAGAACATTCAAAAATAAAACAAAATCCAAAAGCACTGAGAACCTTTCCTTGCCACTGATATAAAATAGACACCAACTGGGTATGATAACACAAACCTGTAAACTCTGTTCTCAGGAGGCTGAGACAGGAGGATCACCATGAATTCAATGCCAGCTATAATTAGCAAGACCCTGTCTCAAAAGTTTTTAATTTTTTAAATAAAAATAAAGCAGAGAGGGGTTAAGTTTTTTAAAATAAGAAATGTCATGTACATGTACCAACTCCCTACAATGAAGGTAATCATTATAAAATTGGCATCAATTTTTAAAAGTTTAAAAAAAAATTTTAAAGAGCAAAATAAGAGTTACCAGGAGAGAGAGAGAGAGAGAGAGAGAGAGAGAGAGAGAGAGAGAGAGAGACCCCAGTACAGTGGGTTAAAAAAGCAAATTCCTAGAAAAAGTCATTAAAAGTAGAATACTGGGCCAGGTGTGGTAGCACACACCTCTAATCCCAGCAGTGAGGAGATTGAGGCAGGAGGATCATTCCAAATTTGAAACCAGCCTGGGCTACACAGTAAGCTCAATCAAGACCAGCCTGAACTGCATAGAGAAACCCTGTCTTAAAAGACAAAAAAAGAAAAAGTAAAGTAATATACTGTTACCAGGACCTGGGAGAAAAAGGATCGTCAGGAGTTCAAGGCCAGCCAGGATTACATAGTGAGTTCAAGTGCACTATACAGCAAGATCCCAGCTTGAAAAACCAAAACATAAAATAAAAAGCAATGAAATGAAAACCACCCAAGTCTCAAAATGACAATTTAAAAAAAGAATAGAATGGGAATTTTTCAGTAAGAGGTATATGAAAGGCTCTTCTCACATATACAAGTGCCACCTTTTATAAGAACTGCAACTGGGGAAAGGAATCAGAGATCAGCAAGTGGTAATATAAAGCAGACACCAACTGGGTGTGATAACACAAACCTGTAAACTGGTAGAAACGGGAGACACCTGGCTCTATCTTGGCCTACACATGCACCACATAACCATCTATTGAGCAGATCAATTCCCTTAACAAAGTCAGAGGCCAGTTATGAGCTTCCTACACCCTGACCAACTGAGAAAACAGGAGCCTGGCTCAAGTGCACCATAAAACTGAAAAAGGAACCTCAACATCCAGCCTCTGCCTGGAAGGAGTAGGACTGCACCTCACATATAGCACCCTTAACTTTAAGGCCCCCTCCATCATTTGTTTTTAACTCAAACTCTAGTAGCAAAGGTCATGAGCTTCCCTAGATCATAGGAAAAAAGGGCAACAGAATTAATGACACACAAGCACTTTCAAGGGCTTCAATCTCTGAGAAGAATATAGAGAGGTGGCTTAAAATATACTCCTGTTTCTCCCTTACATCAAAAACCTCAACCATAGCTAGGAGTACAGCTCCAAGCTGACAGCAGATAGGACTGGCATATATGTATGGCTCTCTAGACCACAGTGGAGAGAAGGTGGCACTTATACAGACACTCAGGAGTTTATGACCTGAAGCAACAAAGAAAAGGGCTTTAAAAAGGAAGCACCAACCAAACCTGGTGGTGTGCCCTTAATCCCAGTTTTGCAAGGTTAAGGACCATGTGTTCAATCCCAGACTCAGCTACAAAGCAAGACCCTGTATTCAAAATAAAAAGGTGAGCCAAAAATACAGCTCAGTGGCATAGTGGCACAGCACCTACCTGGCAAGTGCAAGGTTCTCAGTTCAGTTTCCAGTACTTAAAAAGTAAGCTGACCTGGGTAGTACAGCTCAGTATGAAGACCTTGGGTTCAAATGAAACAAATCACAACTCTTTATCTCCAGGAAAGCATTTTTTTTAAAACCTCAAGTGCCCAACAACTACCTCCCCAAAGATTGTCTTCTAAACCTCTTAACTATGTGAACAGAAAGAACCAGATGGTCACAGAACAGAACAGAGGTTGTTTTAAACTGGTGAACAAAAAGACAGGAACATGCAGCTCCTGCTGAAAAAGCACAAGGTAAAAAAAAAAAAATTAACTTCTTAGTATTTAACCAAGAAAGAAAATGTTCTTGCCAGTCACGGTGGTACACACTTATAATCTCAGCACTGACGAGGCTGAGGCAGAAGGATTGCAGCAAGTTCGAGGCCAGCTTGGGTTACACAGTGAGTTCAAGGCCAGCCTGAACTACAAAACAAGACCCTGGCTCCAAAAAAAAAAAAAGGAACAAAAAGAATGCTCTGTATACAGAAATAAACACTAGTATGGTAGTCAGGGACATATGTCAGCGATAGACCACTTGCCTAATATGCATGAAGTCCTGGGTTCAATCCCCAACACCACCAAACAAAAACAAACTTAGTAAGGCAAAAACTTGCTGAGTATAGTGAGATATGCCTGTAATTCCAGCACTCTGGAGACTGGAGGATCCTACATGAGTTCAAGGTCAGCCTAAGTTACATAAATTCAAGGCCAGTATGGACTACATAGAGAAACCATCTCAAGAAAAAAAAAAAGTAACACTTAGAAAAATAAAAAAGGCCTGGGCACATAGCTCCCTGAGAAGGTCCTGGGTTCAATCACTACTACCAAGAAAAAATGTGTATATATGTATATGTGTATGTATATATATATATATATATACATACACATATACATATATACATACTTTTCTATTATAAGTAACAAATTCATACCAGTAGAAACTTACAGACAGTTTCAGAAGTATTAGTATGAAACAATTTTGCTTTTTCATTAAAACGTTAGTAGGTTAAAAAATAAGCCCACTTCTAAGTGTATTCAAAACTAATTAGAGAATTAGAAACATGTCCATCCAAAAATTTGCATATAAATGTTCACAACAGAATATTCCTTAAGGGGCAAAAAGTGGAAAACAGCTCATATACACATCAAGTGGATTTAAAAAGTGTGATGTAAGGGCTATGGGTAGCTGAAAGCTAGAATGCTTGCCTAACACATGCACGGCCCTGTGTTCAATTCAGGAGTACCAAAAAGGTATGCCAACACAGTAAATTCATCCACAAAAAGGAATGAAGTAATTAAGACACACTACAATACAGATGAACCTTAAAACATTATGCAAACTTTAAAAAGCCAAAATAGGCAAAACTTACAGACAAAAAGTATGCTAGTAGTTAACAAGGGCTCAGGAAGGGAAGGAGAAAATGAGACATGACTGGTGAAACACTGGCTTTCTTTCTGGGGTGATAAAAATATTCCGAAATTAAAGAGTAGCACCAGGCAAAGGGTAAAATTTATGTTAAATGAATTACAGTCCAAAAATATATTTAAAAAATAGGAAATATTAAAAAAAAAATAGGAAGTAGGCCAGAAAGTCTCTAAATGAACATGCTAACACACAAACACAACTATACATCTATATCACTTCGAAATTATTATCAATTCTCCTGATCACAGAAGACTATTCTCACCATGAACAATGGCCTTGTCTCAAGGGCCAATGAGAGCAGAGCTTCTCTAACTTACATCACTGAACTCCAGTGGTAAACTCTCAGTGGGCTGGAGCTCAGCAGCACTCAAGTACAGATCCATGGGGCCGGCTTCCAGATCGTCTGGCACAGACAGTACCTGCTCGGGCTTATACATCTGAGGAGGCAGCTGGAAATGCAGTGGACAGCAGGGATCCTCAGAAAGGCTTACAGGAACTGCTTTGTTGCAGGGGACCTCTTCAGATCCCTGGCAGCATTTGAAGAGAACTTGATTCGTATCCTGACAAATATCTGTAGAAAAATGGTCAAGGAAAATAAAACAGGTTCTACTGAAATACAAAATGCATAGGTCCCTCTATGAAAACTAGAAGCATACAGTGAATACAACATCTCATAAAGAAAATGAAACGTACATATTAGTTTTTTATATTTCTCCTTTTAAAAAAAAATTTTTTTTGGCCTTTTGAGACAGAGTCTTGCTTCACAGTTCAGCCTGGCCACGAGCTCACTTTGTATCCCAATCCTCCTGCCTCAGCTTCCCGAGTAGCTAGGATTATAGGCATGAGCCAGGGTATCTGGCAATTTTGTTTTTGAAACAGGGTCCCACTTTGTAGTTCAGACTGGCCAGGAACTCAGTGATCCTCCTAACTCAGTCTCAAGAATCATCAATCTGAGCTTACAGGTGCATGCCACAACTGGCAGTTCTCAAAACTGTCAGTACCATTTCGGAGCATTCTAAATCTGGCTCTACCAATAATTTAAAACTAATCCCTCAATGGAAGTGAATGAGAAATAAAAGAATGAAGATGTAATATCTGTTATGTATCTACTCCCCATGAATATACTCATTTCCTATTACAAACATGTACTAATTTAAAAAGTTCATTTAATTAAAAAGAAAGTAATAAAACTGGTCCTCAACCTGCTTTTCCTGTTCTCCCTATGACAACACTAAGCAAGCAGCAATAGCACTACTAGGAACAAACATACACATAGTTAGAAGGGGCCAGGGATTTAGCTCAGTGGCTTAAGTGCCTGCCTGGCAAGCACAAGGTCATGAGTTTGATCCCTGGTACCAAAATAAAAACCGCTGGGGCGCATACTCAGAAGACATAAATTACAGCAAACACAAATAGTTTGCAGAAGCCTGGCTACATTCGCAAAAATTTCCTAGATTTTGTTCTTGTAACATGACAAATACACGATCCTGGGAAAAATACAACCTGACATTCACTAAACATCATATCTTTTTTTTTTTTTTTTGATACTGCAGATCGAACTTGTGACCTTGTGCTTGCCAGACAGGCACTTGTGCAGCTGAACTAAACCCCTAGCCAAGTATCATATCCTGACAAGGAATAAAGTTTTGATGCCTTCCTCCACCCCAACCCCCATCCCAAGAGGATGGTAGAGGAGAGTCCTGGTACACAAACCTAAAGAAAAAAGACAATTTTGCTTATGAGGGCCCATGGAAAACAATGACTCTTACAGCAACTTCTGCTGGGGTAGAAACAATATTTTCAACTTGGCAAAGAAGCTCCACAGGATGAAAAAATTTTACATCCCAGTATGTACGTGATTAGGTCACTAATTTGTTTTAGATCAAATTTCAAATTACTTTATAAAATAACATTTTGTTAAACTATCTTAAGTCTGTCTCTCTCAAGACAGGTTCTCAGGAAGTCACTAAATTGCCCAGGGGGACTCAAAACTTCTGATCTTCCTAGAATGGTGGGATTACAGACAAGTGCCACCTTACCTAACTTGCAAACTAGATGGTTATTTTGCTGATTGATAAGGGTTAAACTTGACCCCTTTTTTAAACTAAAAGCTAAAAATTTTTGTTTTGGTTCCAGGGATTGAACTTCCGACCTTGCACTTGCCAGGCAGGCACTTAAGCTACTCAGCTAAATCCCCAGCCCAACTACAATATTTTTAAAACAAATTATACTAGGATTATAAAGAAATTATGCATAATTTCTCAACTTTTTTTTTAAATTTTGAGACAAGGTCTCACTATGTAATCCAGGCTGATTTTGAACTATGTCTGGTCTGAAAGCAATCCTCCTGGTGCCTCAGTCTCCTATGTGCTGGGATTACAGGCATGTATCACCACATCTGGCTCTCACATTAAATATTAGTCTTAAAAAAATTAAAACACCTAGTATAGATTGTAATTGTTAAAAGCTAGAACATTTAACAGATACAGTAGAGCCCTATATCTACTGTCAGTAACATCCCCATCTCCTGCCTTGAGTTAAGTTACGAGAACCAAAATTTTCTCCCACATCACCAAATAGAAGAAAAGGGGCATCACCTGAGAACTTGCTGCAGATAGTACAAATATTTATTGAATGATCAAAAATATGCTAAATAAACATTAATGGAATAATCTGACATTTTAAGAAAAGCTAAATAATGTACCTAAGAAGCTCAAGAATATTTAATTAACATTTACAACTTTCATCCATTAAATGTTCAAACAATTATTTTCGTAGAACTCAAAGGACTTTTACAAGTCTCTTGTATAATATCATGAGAGCTTAAAAACTCCTCTCCCATCCTCTTCCACCCCCTTTTCCTTTCATATGGGGACAACAGAGATGAAAAGGGAATGGTTGACCTACAACTAGAGTTTGGATCCTTCACTTTCAGTCCAGTGTTGTCTCCATTAGACCAGAGTAAAGAGTTAACAGGTCACCAATGGCAGTCGAATCTTTCTCTGGGGTACGGACTTAAGGAAGGGTAAGTAACTTAAGCAGCTATGGAATAGAAAGGAAAAGACCATAAATGCAAAAAAATAATTCCCTTCACCTCTTTAAATACATTTTATCATCAACTATGCTTTTTAAAATATATTCTAGCATACTATGAGTACAGCGTTTTAAGAAATACTGAAGTCCTTAGTACAGTGAAAGAAGTATAAAGTAAAAAAAAGGTATCATATTCTCTCCATGTAAAAATACCATGTTACATTCTCTCCCAGTATTTAGTTCCACGTAGTTAAATTTAGGCTACCAAAAGTTTGTATCCAAAAAAAATTTGTATCTCATTTTTGTCAGTCACATTATCATCCATGTATATTCAAATATTTAATGCCTAAAAATACCCCAAATTATCTGCCAAAATTTACTTCACTATTCTCTAAATTTTTGGAGGGGAGAAGGGTTTAGAGAAGTTTCTGCTATGCAGTTCAGACTGGCCTCAAACTCATGGTGATCCTCCAGCCTCAGTCTGAGTGGGCACTACAGGTGTGTGCCACTATGCTCAGCTCAATCATTAAACATCTTAAAGCTGTCCCTGGTTAGAATATTAAAAATATGGTCTGCAATTCATAATCTTCTCAAAATAAAACCTCACAGATGTATTTACCTATCAAACAATGCTTTGTAATAGTCCATAGAGTACTTCTCTCTAGATTCCTTAATCCTGTTAAAATTTTAGCACTGTTAACTCATTAACAAAAAAAATCATTGTGAGAGATGCTGCTGTCATTCTAGCAGTATCCTATTGTATGGTCAGTTAGTATTTTAAATTTCAACATACAAACTGTTTCCAAAAATGGGATGCTTTTGTTCCTTTCAATAAATATGCCTTTAGCTAGGCGTGGCAGTGCCCACATGTAATCCCACCACTTGGGAGTCTGAGGCAGTAGGATCACTGCAAATTTTAGGCCAGCCAGAACTGCACTGAGATGGTCTCAAAAGCACAAAAAAATAAAAATTAAAAATTAAAAATACTGCCTTTAAATCATCTTCTAAAGTCTCCTATGGGACCATATTTACATTAGACTACAACACTTTTCATGGTGTTTAATGGATCTTGACAGTGCATCCTTATCACAGTTAAAAATTCATTTTTACACTATACACACTTGTTAAATATTCACTTTTACAAGAAACACAAAATTTGCTAGATTTGTCTGGCAAGAGATACCAAATACTTGGAAATGAAAGTGAATTTCCTTTGCCATGTATGGTGGCATGTGCCTGTAGGCCCAGCTACTCAGGAAGCTGAAGATCACTTGAGCCCAAGAGTCTAAGGTAAGCCTAGTCAACATGTGAGTCTGTCTCAAAAAATAATTTTTTTCTTTAATAAAAACAAAACCTTAGCCCTGCATGGTAGCATACTCCTGTAATCCTAGCATTGGGAGGCTGACGTAGGTGGATCATTGCAAATTCAAAACCAGCCTGGGCTACAAAGAGAGCCCAAGGCCAGCCTGAACCACATAGCAAGACCCTGTCTCAAAAAGAAAAGAAAAAAAAAAAAAAAAGAATTTGATTTTTAAGTGAAAATCTATTTATTATTTAATTTTTTATTATTTTTTTGTTTGTTTTCTGAGACAAAGTCTCAGTATGTAGCCCAGGCTGGCCTCAAACTCAGCATTCCTTCTGCCTCCGGAGTGCTGCAATTACAGGTGTGTTTACCACCAGGCCAGCTGGAAGACCTTGGTCTTTTGACCAAAAAATTGATTTTTCAATTCAGTTTATTAAATATTTTAGCAACTTGTTAACTGTTGTAACAGACGTCTAGTAAACGATTATGCTCCTTAATATATAAAACGTTTGTGCAAATAATTAGAAACTGAAGATAAATGCTATCTGTGGACAAGTGGTAAAAAGTGCTTATCTCACTCTAAATAAACAAGGAAACAAAATTTTAATCTATAGTTGTAATATTTCTTTTTTTAAATAAATTTAAATTTGAGAAAAGGTCTTGCTATCTACTCAAGCTGGCCCTGAACTAACTACACAGCTCAGCCTGGTCCAAACTTGCAGCAGTTCCTTTTTGGATTTGTTTGTCTGTTTTTGGTTTTTGTTTCTTTGAGACAAGATGTTCCTAACTAGTGCAGGTTGGCCTTGAACTCACAGCCATCCTCATGCTTCAGCCTCCCAAGTGCTAGGATTACAAGACTTGCATCACCATATTTGGCTTAAAATTTACCTTTTTTAGTGGTTGTGTCTTTCTAATGAATTGACCATCATTTTTTTTTTTTTTTGGTCTTTTTGAGATAGGGTCTCGCTATGCAGTTCAGGCTGGCCTTGAGCTCACTTTGTAGTCCAGGCTGGTCTTGAACTTGTAACAATCCTCCTGCCTCAGCCTCCCGAGTATTGGGATTACAGGCGTGAGCCACCACGCCTGGCTGACCATTACATTTCTAAAGTTCTGAAATGGCCAACAGACCATAAAAAGATATCACTTTAGGCTCTTGCTTGAAACTAACAACTTCAAAAAACGGCTGGCTGCCAGGGATTTAGCTCAGTGGCCAAAGTGCCTGCCTGGCAAGTGCAGGGTTGTGAATTCAATCCCCGGTACAAAAAAATGCTGGCCTTGATTCAAGGCCAAAGGAAAACCAAGACCTTCAATTAAGCAAATGTGCACAGATTCCCACTAGCCCTCATATAACTAGCAAAGCAAGAGACTAAACTAGCAGTTTAAAAAAGATACGAGTAAGGCAGTGTCTGGTCATTGGAAGAGACTGATTGGAACAACGAACATCATCCACAAAGGCCAAGCACCTCTGACTGGAACGAGTGGTATGGGCCTGAAAAGGAGAAAACAGATAAAACAAACCCACAAAAAGCATAACCAACCAACTGTAATGAGAACAATTAAGGTATACACAAAAAGTGTATCTAAAGGCTAGAGAAAAAAATAACATTTAACAAACTGATTCATCATTATGCAAAAAAGTAAAATATAAAATCTCACATATGAAGAGTTAACTTTCGTCACAGCTATATCTCTCCCTGTACACAAGTGTATGTACTGCAGTCCTCCCCTTATGTGAGGTTTCAGTTGCTTTTAGTCAGTCTTGATTAAAAATATTAAGTGGAAAACTATAGATATAAAGAATTAACTAATTTTAAGCAACTTTTGTTACATTATATTGTCAGAATTGTTCTATAATTATTGTTAATCATTGTGCCAAATTTCTAAACTATCATTATCCCAGGTACTTTACAGGTGAACAAAATAAACAATACTTAAATTTTTAAAACTTACAATGAAAGTAATCATTATGTACTGAAACATATACTAATAAAATTTTTTTTAATTTAATGGGCAGGTGATACAGCTCAGTGGCACAGTGCCTGCCTTATAAGCACTAGGTACTGAGTTCAATTTTCAGTACCAAAAAATAAATAAATCATAGTAAAGGACATATTGAATATTCAAAATACTCCCTTTGCTTTGAACACACTTATCCCACCATTCTTGTCTCTTTTTGAAGCAGTTCTAGGACTCCCCTTCAGTGAGTGTCTTTCTGAGAAGCAATTAAAAATATGGTGAATGTGGCTGGGAAGTACCTTCCAAGGGAAAGGCAGGCTCATAGTAAAAACAATATATTGTGTCTTCATCCACTTTACCCAGATCTGGCACCTCATACATAACATATAGACTATATATAACGTATAGACTCTTCCCCAAAGTCAAAATGACCATGAAGAGTAAACATGTGATTCAATTCAGGACATCCAGATAACTATAAAAGCTCAACTACAGATATGAAAGAACACTTTTCCAACTGCTTCAGAAAGCAGTAATGATGGGGTGTGTTCAAAAGGGAAATTTTTAAGAGTAGGAAAATCTGGGCTGGGGATTTAGCTCAGCGGCATAAGTGCCTGCCTTGCAAGCAGGCACTCGTGAGTTCAATTCCCCGGTACCGATAAAAAGGAAAAAGACCAAAAAAAAAAGAGTAGGAAAATCTGTTGGGTAATAATAGCTGCTGAGATATAGCAGAGGTCCTGAATACATTGCTGAGTGGGGAAGCCAAGAGGGGAAGTATTTTGAGGGGCATCTATAAATGATAACACATCTTTCACTATAATACACTTTTATTAAAAATTAGACCTTCATTGTATTATTTGATTATGCCTTGAACATACAGGAAAAGACTGTACACAGGATCCAATAATACCTGTAGTTCCAGGCTGACCTCTACCGGGGTCTTCAAACATATCCTTAAGGGATGAGGTACTACTGTATAGTTTAACATTTTTTCAAACTAATTTGTGTTTTAGTAGCAGAATCTTTAAAAACTGTAACTTTATATGGAGCTTCAAAACGAAAAACATAAAACAAGACTCTCAAACAACTTAAGCTTAACTTAAGCTTAAGCTTAACTTGTGCCCCTATCAGTTTGTTTTACTATTTTTGGTTTTTTGAGATAAGATCTCACTGTGAAGTACTTCAGGTTGGCCTTAAACTAACTATGTAGCCCAGGGTCACCTCAAACACATGGCAATCCTTCTGCGGCAACCTTCCTGGGATTACAGATGTGCACCACCACACCTGGTCATGCCTGTGTCTTAAGTGATAAATACCTGAACCAAAAAACTTAGAAATCCATCCCTAAACATCCCAATTTAAATATGAGACCCAGAAAACTCAAGCTATCTGTGCAGGCCCAGGCTGGTCAACAGGAGACTAGAACATATCTCCTGACTTCCAGCTAACTGCTTTTGCTGAAGCCCCATTGAGTTAGATTTCACAGCCAGGATTGAACAGTGTTTTAACAATTTAATAATTTGATAAATAAAATGCATATATCCCTAAAGAGTACACGAATCAGTTACCTGCTGGGCACCACCATCTGTGGCCAGCATTCTGCGTTCCTTCAGTTGCCTGTGTAGTAAGGCCTCCACTCCATAGCGCTGGCGATATCGCCGGAGACATTTTAATCGCTTTAAATTTTCTCGTTCTTTAGCTAAAAGTCCCTCTGGGCCAGTCAGGAGACTGCTGCCTAGACAGATACAAAAGTCAACATATAATTTGCCACCAAACCATCAAGAAGAAGCCACTCCAACGTTAACAGAGAAATCTCTGGCTGTAAAACAGGCAGTTCAACTGCATAAAACTTGCCTAAAGCCTCATGTTCCACTTTGCGGTTATGTAAGTACCGGCGCTTCTTCTCCTTGAGCAGATGCTGAAGTCGTTTAAACTGATCAATGTACAAAGACTGCAAACGAATTAATTTCTCTCGCATAATCAGGGCCACTTCTTCTGCTGTGTAGACACCAGCATGTCTAGAATAAAAGATTCAAAAAAATAACAAGATTGAGCAAAGCATAAGAAAACACAAAAATAAAATCCAAGTTTAAAAGTAGAACAGTAGCTCGGTGAGGTGACACTTGCCTTTAATCCCAACACTTGGGAGGCTGAGGCAAAAAGATCACCATGAGTTTGAGACCAACCTGAGCTACATAAAAGAGTTCAAGACCAGCCTGAATGGCATAGTGAGACCATTTCAAAAACAACAAATCAAAAAAAAGTAGAAAAGTATAGAAATTCAGCCCCCAGCTGTTATTTAACAAGCAGTCAGTAGAAACAGAAACAATCATTTTAAAGCACAAGAACACTTTCATACAGCATTTTAGCATTCAAATTGTTCAAAAATTTTAGGTTCAATTTGTCTTTGATCCTATGAGCAAAAAAAACAAGCTAGAGCTGGGAATGATGGTGCATACCTGTACTCCCAGCACTCAGAAGGCTGAGGCAGTAGGATCACTGAGAGTTGGAGGCTGGCCTGGGCTACATAATGAGTTCAAGGCCAGCCTGCACTAAAGCAAGACTCTGTCTCAAAAAAACAAAAAAAAAAAGGAAACTAGAAACATATCTTAAGTTTCGTATTTCTGTATTACTTGTTTAAAAATTAACAAATTATAATCTAAATTAGTACTAAACCCGAAAATTATACTTTTTTATTTTGTGATACTAGAGAATGAACCCAAGGGCACTCTTTTGACTGAGCTGCATCTCTATCCCTCAGAGACAGGATTTAATCAATTGTCTAGACTGACCTGAAATTTACTATGATCTTTCTGCCTCAGCCTCTCTGTTGCTAGGATTGTAAGCAATCACCACTTCACTCAGTTTTCTACCTTCTTTGAAAAATTAACTGTGAAGGGCCAGTTATGGTGGTGCACGCCTATAATCCTAGCATTTGTGAGGCTGAGGCAGACAGATCACCATGAGTTTAAGGCCAACCTGTACTACATAGTGAGACTATCTCAGAAAACAAAAACAAATTAGCTGTAAATTCACTGGGACTGAGCAAGTCTGCCCAACTTTTTTCAAATAACTCAGTATATAAAACAAATAAAATCATTTTGCTCAAAAAACACAGCCCAGCTTGGTGTGTCGGCACATATTTGTAATCCCAGCACTCCAGATATTTTAAGTAGGATGACTAAGAAGGTTTGAGGCCAAGTGGGCTACAAATTAAATTCAAGGCCACTCTGTACTACATGAACATACCTTGTCTTCCCCCAAAAATAAGTGAAAGGGGCTGGTAATATAGCTCAGTGTGTGTAAAGCCCTAGGTTCAAACACTAGTAAATTTTTTTTAAAAAGCCTATTGGTCAAGTCTAGATTTCATAACCCCTCTCACTATCTAAAGTACTTCTACCTAAACTATCAGCTGGAAGTGTTAAAGAGGCAGAAGTCACAAGGGGGGTCCCCAATATAGAAAAAATTCACAGCTATAGATGTAGCCAATAGTACAATGCTTGCCTAGCACGCACAAGGCCTTAGGTTCAATCTCCAGCACTGCAATTAAAAAAGAGCTAAAGTCAAGTCATGAAACATATAAATATGAGATTTTGGAGTAGCAATGCTTTTAATGCCTCTGTATCTCCAAAGCTTATCACAGATTAGTGAAGAGGACGACCTTAGTAAAATATAATTAAGAGCCGAGCATGGTGGCACATGCCTGTCACCCCAGCATTCGGGAGGCTGAGGCAGCAGGATTGTTACAAATTCGAGACCAGCCTCAGCTTCAAAGTGAGCCAAGGCCACCCTGAAATGCATAATGAGACCCTGTCTTAAAAAGACCCCTCCCCCAAAAAAAGATATCATTAAGATAATTACTCACATCTGGATTTCTAAGTCAGTTTCTTCTTCTTTCCTTCCTCCAAAATAAAAACCCAAAGTAAATCCTCAGTCTTTTTTTGGAGACAGGGTCTTGGTAAGTTGCCCAGATAGGGCACAAACTTGCAATCCTGCCTCAGCCTGCCAGAGTGTTCAGCATGTGCCACAGTGCCGAAGCTTCAGTTTCCCCCTTATGCATGAAAGCAAACTGTTGAACATTTCTTTACTTTTCTTTGAAAACCATAAACATAACACTTTCTAAAACAAGTAGTTACTCCAGTACCTCACTATTCCTGAGATTTAGAACAAGCACTCACATCCATTTTCTCAACTCTAACCAGGCTATTTCTCATCACCTCCAACCTCGTGTTCAAAAACATCTCACTTTTCTCCCTTATACCTTTTCATATCTAAGATTTAGTGTTCAAACGTTTTTTTCAAAATTACAAGAATTCTACCCAAAAAAAAAGAAGAAAATAAAAACAAATCTGCCAGGCATGGTGTTGCCCACCTGTAATCCCAGCACTCTGGCACATTTGAGGCAGGAAAATGGCAAGTTTGAGGCTAGCCTGGGCAACTTATGGACTCAGCCAAACCTGGTCTCAATTTTAAAGAGGAGGGGCTGGGGGTGCAGCTCAGGGTAAAGGCCCTTCAAACCCAGTACCACAAAAATAAAAAAATAAAATCCTGCCTTCAAGAGAGATGGCATGATGAACCCTGAACACTCAGATACACAGAAACTGTTACAGCTCACAAATAGCTACACTACCACCTTCAACCCTCCTTAGTTAATACTCTACATCACATTCCACACGCTAACTACATAAAATACGCAAATGCTTTATGTGGAGTTACGACTTACTTCAGGGGATCTTCTTGATCACTGTCTATGCTATCAGCTTCACTGTCAGGGTCACCTCTCCATGTCTGATCCACAGTAATGGGTTCCTGGTCCCCATCACTCCAGCTGTCTTCATCTGAGGCAAGGAAGGGAGAGCAGCTATTAAGACTTCCCACCTCTGTAACTCCACCACACAGCTAGGTTACTTAACAGATCAACCCAAATCTTAAATTTAAAATCTTTAACACAGAAAAAGTCACCAGCTCAGGAGAGTGACCTAAGTAAACTCTATTTCAGATTTCAAAGAACTGAATATAGCAATCCTAGAATTCTCACCAAATGCCCCATAAATTAACAGTATTGCCAGATATGTTCCAGGCACAGGACTGGACCAAAACAAGTTCTTTTTAAGTCTTTTTTTTTTTTTTTTTCTTTTTTTTAATTCTAGGAAAGATCCTTACCCAGTATTCGACTGGCTTCACTACGGATACTTTCTGGAGTCTGAGAGCCCACTTCCGTCTTAGCATATGAACTCAGCTGACACAACAGTGTTTCACCCATAGGCCCTGGGCTGGTCTTCTTCATCTGAGCATGAACTGCTAAGGCATTCCTACGGGCATGTTCAGCACAGAAGGACACACTAAGGAGACAAAATATTAATATTTTATAGGCTTCTTCTTGAAAGAGTTCAATGATCTTCTTAGTCACTGATCTTTAGATCACTTCCAAAATCAAAATGACTATTAACTCCTAAAAAAGCCAGTTAAGGGGCTGGGGATTTAGGTCAGTGGCATAAGCGCCTGCCTTGCAAGCAGGCAGTCATGAGTTCGATCCTTGGTACCGAAAAAAAGGAAAAAGACAAAAAAAAAAAGCTAGTTAAATCCAAGGAATTTAACTGGCCCACCGGTCACTTATTTGGTTGTTTTCTTGTGCATAGCCTTGGGTTGGACATCACGCGTGGTAGCTAAACCCACATTTGGCATTATTAAAATGAAAATGCAAGTAGTTTAATCTAATACTTCACCATCAAACAAAACATTCCAACTATAAAAATGTTGACATTATCTCATAACAAATCAGAAAGCCACTTCCATTTTTCAGAATTCTGGAAAGCACATTTTAGTATCAATCCATTGTAGGTAGTAAGATACTGCATACAGTTTTAAACTACATAATACATGCAAAATTATCTAGAAAAGTTATGCTTCTGAAAGGATACCTTTGTGTACATGAAACTGTATATCCTGTGCCTACCTGGCAAGCACGAGGTGGTCAGTTCAATTCCCAGTACCAAAAAAAAGGCATTATGTATCGTCCAAAATACATACATATATACACAATTTTGTATACCATTTAACAAGACACATAGACAACCAAAAGAGCTACCACCCAGCAGTAAGAGAAACCCTTCACCTTACAGATAAAAGATACAAGGAAAGGAACCACCCTAAGCGAGGCGCCCTTTCAGTTTTCAGTACTTTAACGTTCCTTCCCATGAGACATGCCCACACCTCAAATTTTACAAGCCTGTAACCCAAAAGGCAGTTATACCCCAAACCCACATCACAACACATCGCCCATCACCTTAAAACAACAGAGGGCTGCGGGTGGGTCCTGAGTTCAATCTCCAACACAAACTTAAACTTCAACTAAAACAAATTACATATACCTATCTTTCTTTTCTGGCTTTGGGGCAGCACTGGGACATCTTTTTCCATTCTTCGTGGATATATAACTACACTGCTTGAAGGGCGCATTCTTGTCTTCGAGGATATGCTTAATGCAGAATTCCTGTCCTTCCAGACGAGGCTGAGAGCATGGGCGATGAGTGAATGAACAAGACAAGGGCTCCTGCGACCTGGGCACTGGCGTAATCCTCCCCCGGTTGGTTGGCAGGACGTGAATCCGAATTCTGTTCATACCAAAACCTAAGAGGGTGACACAAAAGACCAAAATGCCCACGATATCCGAACAGACTTCTGGCAGTTTCTAAAGGAGCGACAGATAGGATCCCTCAGGGTACTCTCCTAGCTCCCCGCCGCCCTCCAAGGCCCCCCGAACAGTCGAGAGAGCGTCCTTTTAACCTCTGCCTCCCTCAGTGTCCGCCGAATCTTCAGCACTCGCCAGGATGACAACCGGGCGAGCTGGCCCCACGCGGCGCGGCCGCTGCGCCCCGCTGCCCGCTCCCCGCTCCCCGCTCCCCGCGCGCCGCCTTTGTCCCCGCCAGCCTCAGCTCAGGACTCAAAGCTCAGGGCTCAGAGCTCGGCCCCGCCCGACCTCGGGAGCCGCGCAAGCGCCATTTTGTCCCAAAGCTACAGGCACCAAAGAACCCAGCCTGCTTCCAGAAGCCTGTAGGAAGCACAGTGATTCTGACGCTGTTTGAGGCAGATTTACTGCTCTGGGCTGAGAAAAAACGGCGAAACAACAACCTAACTGCAAATACAACAAAAAAGAGACGCCGCCCGCCATCTTACCGCTACCGCCGCGCTCCGCCTCGCAGCGTAGCCAGGCCACTTATGGCAACTGCAGCAGTGCCTAACTCTACCCAGCATTTCTCCGAGCCCCTCGCCAATGATTGGCTGCTGCTCTACGGAGGCGTATCACCATTGGCCGAGATCCGTACTTACAGCGTCTAGGAGGGCTAACTGCGAGAAAATGAGAGGCTGGAAAGGCCGAGACGAGCTGTCTGTCAACTACTCCAGCTCTAGGAGAATAGGCGGCTGGGAAGGCGGGCTGGATATGTACTGTGGATGTTTTTCCATTCCTGATTGTAGCTTACTTTTTGGCATCTTTTCCTGCTGCCCGTGATCCTAGGTAGCTGTTTCCTCACCATTTCTACTCTGAAGGTAAATCAGAGACCAGAAGATCTCAGCATTAATATTTGACTTTCTTTTTATATAAAAAGATTTTAGTGTTCTTTGGTGAGCCTTTCATTTAGTGCAGAGCACTCTTAAACCTCAACTGGCTGTTCACCACTGTTAGGCTGGTAGTTAGCAATCCCGCAGAACAAAATGGGTCTAAGGTTATACATTATGCACATTCCTTCCAATATCCAGCTACCTGACTATTTCTAACAAGGTATACAGCATCCCTGGGCGTAATGGCCTACGCCCAATGATACCAGAAAGAGAAACATTTTTTTTTTAAATCGGTAAGGGGGATCCAACTCACAACCGCCTGCTTGCAAGGCAGGTGTTTATGCCGCTGAGCTAAATCTCCAGCCCAAGAGAAACATTCTTTAAACACCCTTCCACTTTGGGGAGTACCTGATGGGAAGAGTTTGGAGGTGTCATCTGAAACAGAGCTGGAACACCTTAGGCTGTAATGGGAGATTCTGGTCAGAACTTAGAAGCCCAGAAGGCTGATAGAAATCCTACTGGTAAAGACCAGGCTTGGGAGGTTTCTACTGGGGGAAAGGACTGCATTGGCTACTGGACTCCAGACCATGTATGTTATGGCTTGGTAAAAAGTTGTCTGCCCTTTGCTTGTGTCCAGAGACTTTATCTGAGACTGACATTAAGGGTGGTGGACTAATTTGAAAAATTTCAAGGCAGTCAAATGTTGAGGCTGTGGCATGGCTGCTGTTGGAGGCTTTTAGCCAGATCTATGTTGAGAATCAAGAGCAAAGAACACAACAGGATGATTAAAACCTTGTGAGTTTAGCCAGAAAGAAAGCCCCAGTAAAACTGTGGACTGCAAAGATAGGACAGAGGAGATCTTGATTGTTGAGAAGGAATAGGAAAATAAAGAAGGTGGCCTGAGGGCATCACAAGAAGCAGCAGGCCACCACCCTTAGTGGCCTCAAAATTGCAAAAGTGAAAGATTTTATTTTGAGGAGAAAGCTGGAGAGGACTATGTTCTAGAATGGTGGAGGCCACACCAGGTTTCAGAATGACAGCAGCATAGAAAATTTGTTCCTCAAAATTGGATTTAGAGCTAGGAGTTTAGCTCAGCAGCATAAGCACCAGCCTGGCAAGTGTGAGGTTTTGGGTTTGATCCCCGGTACTGAGGGGGAAAAAAAAGAAGAATTGGATTTAGAGTGCCCAGTGACCCAGGCACTCGAGTCATACAGCCAAGAGAGAAGAAAACCTGGATACTGCTCCAGCTGGCAGCAAACTTTGGTATCATCCCTAGCCCCAGTCCCAATTCTTTGTATTCCCCTATTTGTAACTTTTGGAATAAAAAAAATATATCTTGTGCTATTGAACATTGGACGTGTTTAACTTTTCATTTGTATGGGGACTTTAAGAATTTATCTTACATGTTGTAAGAGACTTGGGACTTGGACTTTTCAGCAGTGCTGAAACTCTTAGGACTTTTTAGAGATGGACTAAATGTTTTTTGCATAGACTGGTTCTTAAGAAAATTAAATCTGTGTTATAATGTTCAAATTGTGAAATGATAAGAATGAGCATGTCTTTGTATCTGGAAACTGGTTGAAATAAATTTTAATAGAAAATTACCTAGTTGGCAAGTTGACAACTGGTGGATTATAATAGTTGATACAGTGTGTCAACATGAGAAGTCTAGAAACTTATCTAACTCAGCAGGTCTACATCTTAGGGTGAAGAGGGCATACCATAGGATTTGTAATGGTTTATTCACTGAGTCAACTTGAGAAGTTTAGAAATTTTACTAAGTGGCCCAGCAGGGGCTAGGGTCTTCACTTTGTAAACATCCTGAGCCTGTGCAAGAGGAGGGCACGGAGATGGTGTGAGTGCTTCACCCACCCTAGGTAGCCTGTATATAATCTAAGGGAGATAAAAGGCTTGCTCCTCTCCCTACTTTTTGGCTCTTATTGCTTTTGCTATCTTTCACCTCCATGAACAGTTGCCCCTCATTATTCTGCCTGGAAGCTATCTGATTACAGATTAAAACCTCCACAAATTGTGAACTAAATAAACCTTTCCTTCCTTAAAAAATAAAAATGTAGGGGGCTGGGGATTTAGCTCAGTGGCATAAGCGCCTGCCTGGCAAGCGTGAGGATATGAGTTGAATCCCCAGTACCAAAAATAAGTAAATAAACACCCTTCCTCTTTGGGCTGAGACCTAATTTAGATTCTTATATGATTGAATCTCATCAAGCCAGGCATAGTGGTGCACACCTATAAACCAGCAGCATTTGGGAGGCTGAAGCAGGAGCATCACCATGAGTTCAAAGTCATCCTGGGATATATAGTAAATTTAGGGCCAGTGTGAGGCATATAATGAGACATTGGCTCAAAAACAAACAACTACATATATTTTTAGTATGTATATATTGAAAATAATGCAATGATAATCATCATAGTTCCCCGAGCTCCACAATGAGTAGTTTTTTGTGCATAAAAATGTATCCAAACTCATACTTGGAGCAGATGCTTTTGTGTGGCCCTGCCTGCTGTTTCACTTGAAGGAGTAACTGTATATCTAGTTTACAATAAATTCTACCTATACTTCTGCATGGTCATCTATGTGTCTTGACTGGACCAAAGACCAAGGAAATGAGGGGCCATTTCTCACTGTGTCAGAACCTTCCTGGTGACAACACAATTCTTGGGAATCACAAAGATTCATTCACTTAATTTTTCAGAGTAACCCTAAGAGGTAGAGGCTATTATCATCTCCATTTTAAGGCAACAGAGGAACAAATATTCTCACATCCAGTAAAAGAGAAAGCAAGACAGATAAGAGCACAGCCCTCATTTGTCATCTCTTACTGTATCTCACACAGTAAGACTGAGTGAGAATAAGAACATGAGTTCTGGTTTCAACTCTACTTTTTATGAACTGCACAGCCTGATGCTGTAAAATTCCAGCTCCATGCTAAATCATGCAGGAATCACAGAAATGGGGAAATACCTATTTTATTATCCTTTACAGATTTTTAGGTAAAAGCATGTCTCTTCTGTCACTGCCACTCTGGTAGAAATGATTCAAAATTTTTCTAGAAATGATGTTGCATCCTAACCTCCATCATCCACTGTTAGTTTTATTTCACATACTGCACCCCTAATCACTGAGCAGGTAAGCATGATCACAGTGGAAGAAAGTATAAGAAACCCACAGTTTCTGCCAAGACTTTTTTCTTTTGAGACAGGGTCTCACTATGTAGCATCAGCTAGCCTTGAGCTCACAGCAATCCACTGCCTCATCCTCCCCAGTGCTGAGATTACAAGCTTATGTCACCACACCCAGCTAGAATGTTATTAAAACAGTGTATTGATTTGTTTCCAGGCACTACGGCAGCCCAGAATAAGCCTGTTTCCTGAAATTCATTCCTTAAGCAAATATTCATGAAGCTCCTAATGTATAGAATGTAGGGGAGAACAAGACTGATAGTCTTTCTAAAACAGATAGTCTTTGCTCTCTTGGAGTAAACATTCTCCATCAGTTTGTTTTTGTTTTTGTTTTGGTACTGGGTATCAAACTCAGGATCTTGCACTTTCCAGGTAGACACTTGTGCCACTGAGGTATGTCCCCAGTTCCTCTCCAACAGTTTGGGATTGTGATTTCAGTACAAAACAATATTAATAGCAAAAATGATTTACACATACAAGCAAACATTCCAACCCTTAGAAAAGGTAGAAATGCAAATAAGACATTTTGTTATAAACGCCCTATAACACAAAACTAACTGGAGGCAGTCACATTATATAGAAAACTTGATAATCAGAATCTGCAACTAAATATGAAAACATCAGAAATGCATATTAAAACTACCACAGTAAGTAACATGAGGAAGGCTAGGAATTTAGCTCAGTGGCATAAGCACCTACCTGGCAAGCGCAAGGTCATGAGTTCAATCCCTGATACCAAAAACAAAACAATGTGAGGAGACACCTCAATGATAGGGATACAAAAATCTTTCTACTAATTAGAGAAAAAATTCTTTTTGCTAAGCTATATATGGTGGGTTACACCTGTGATCTTAAATACTCAGAAACCTGACACAGGAAGATCCTGACTTTGAAGCCAGTCTAGGCTACACAGTAAGGCTACACTGCTGGGTACAAAGCTATATCTTCAGGATCTAGGACAAGGCCACTGCCTCTCATGATTTTGGCAGGGCTCACAGTTCAGAGGACTGATGCACACAGCGACTTGACCTTCATTTGAGATAATACAGTTTTCTCTTGTTTCCGTGAAGCCACCAAGACATGTTGTTTGGCTAACAGATCAGATATCCTTCCTGTCCCTGATCCTGCTCTCCCCTTAAATTCTCCATGAACTTATTCACATGCTGATTGTATAAATAAGCATGCTGCAGGTGCCAAGCAGTTCTTTTCTCCAATCAGGAGAAAGGACTCCACCGGACCCCAGCTTTCTGAAGTACTTTTTTTTTTGGGGGGGGGGTACCGGGGATCGAACTCACAACCATGCACTTGCAAAGCAGGCGCTTATGCTGCTGAGCTAAATCCCCAGCCCAACCCCAGCTTTCTGTATATTGATTCCTGTCTTCTTCATCCCCCACCATCTTCCCTCTGAAGTTTCATGACCTGCATTTGGACACAGCACAAGGCCACCCTGGAATACATAGCAAGACCTTTCTAAAAACTAAGTACAAGGCCAACAAAAAAGTTACTATTTAGAATTATCTTCTTCAGGGATGGGGATTTAGCTCAGTGGCTTAAATTAAGTGCCTGCCTGGCAAGCACAAGCACAAGGTTGTGAGTTTGATCCCCAGTACCCCCCACAAGAAAAGAATTATCTTCCTCTAAGTACTTGCTTCTAAGTGTTAAAGCAGGGATTGATAGAACTGTGGGGGGAGGACCAGCAGCGGCTGAAAAGATAAGAAATACAAAATATAAATGATCTTTATTTTG